TCTCTATGGATATCTACGTATATAGGTGGCTCTATGGATCTCACTGTGTCTCTATGGGTTTACGAATCGGTCCATATTTTGAGTTGCGTGGCCACAATCGCACCGCTGCGGCTCGTGGCTGTAATTTTGATCACTATGTACCTCTGGGTGTCCACGTGTCTCTACGTGTCTCTGGATATCTACGTATATAGGTGGCTCTATGGATCTCACTGTGTCTCTTTGGGTTCACGAATCGGTCCGTATTTTGAGTTGCGTGGCCACAATCGCACCGCTGCGGCTCGTGTCTTTATTTGCCAATGTGCGAAGGAGGTGGTGTGCATGGGCCTGGTTGACGTTCTGATGCGGTCGATGATGCTTCTACGAGTGTCGACGGGGAGGAATGTGAAAGCCAGGAGGAGGTGCGAAGACGTGTGGGTCTCGAGTGAGCAGGTGCTTGTTCTGGACCTCTGCCGCGTTGCTCCACGCTGCTCTCCTCCGGAGCTGGGCGAGACTCTCGCACGGTGACAGCAGCGTGGTGCCAGGAGAGTGATCGCGAGGATTGAACAACAAGAGGCGGAGTTTGAATGATTTTCCCCGTGTGTAGTTTTGTGACCCCGGAGTCGGTAGTTGAGTGACTACAACTCGAACCGAGGCTGGACACATACCGAGGTCTCAAACGCGTGTAGCTGCCTGTGTTTGAACCCGAGGTGTCCACGTGTAGTAGCGAGTCTATGGTCTCGGGCCGATCGCTTGGTTAAAAGGTTGAGAATGTGCCCCCCCCCCAAAAAAAAAAAAACCCCACACCTTGTTTGCTTTTCTGTGATGTAAAAGTTGTTCAGATCCGTGTTTTGCAACCCCCCCCCCCCAACTTCTTCCGTCTCTTGCTTTGCGTTTAAATAAAAGACGATTGTTCAAGCGGGCAATGTGACGCGATTCATTCCTGCGGTGTGTATTCACCGGGAGCGCTACGCACCGTCTGCTTCGGCGGTGGATGTCGAAAGGTCCCGGGACGCCACTCGCAAAAGCCGTTGCTTGCTCGCAGTCATGGTACGATTTTTGGCGAATTTGGAAGAAGAGGAAGAAATAACAAACCTCAAATTACTCGGTTGGGATCGCAACAAAGACGAAGAAAGAGCCTTTAACAGACTGTTGGGGCAAGTGCTGTTAGCGAGCGCCTATTAAGGCCGGCACGGCACATGAGGCGGTGGGATGTCCAGCAACACGCCCGGCCGTCTTTGTCTCTCCAGTGACTGTGTGTACACACCGCACCAGGTACTCGTTTGAGGCCGAGTCGACCTAGGGGAGGCCCAGAACCGGTTCAGATAATCGTCACTGGTGTTATCCGTGAGCGGGAATCCAACTCGGGTCGCCGGGTTCGCAGCGCAGCGCGCTAACCGCTACCACCACCGCTCACACAAACGCAGAGAGCGGCAATCATTGCCCCTGACTGCGAAATCTTGGCAGGACCCTCCTCAAAAAGAGTCCTGAGATTCGGCGACGCTCTCTCTCTCTCTCGGGTAAGCAAGCGGATTGATGATCACGATACCAACGGTAGTAAAAGGATACAATGTACGAGAGTAGTGAGGAGTGCTTGTGAATGGTTTAGGGCGATGAAGTAAAGTAGCATACCAATCTGCATAGAGTAGCACGTGTGTGTGTGGGGGGGGGGCTGGAAACAACAACCCAAACCTTCTCGGTGGACACAGTCCCATCATCAGTGAGCTCCTCCGGCAGGCGAGGAGGCTGCGTTGGCTGGGTCACTTAGCCACCACATGCCCAGCCACCACATGCCCAGCCACCACATGCCCAGCCACCACATGCCCAGCCACCACATGCCCAAGCAGCTTCTGTTCGGCGGGATAGAGGGGGGCTAAACGGGGAAGGGGGGTAATCTCTTACAAGACGGCTGGCTGACGAGGAAGAGTAGGCCGAACACCCTCTCGAGGGGCTCTCTGGTGGACGCCCTTACGTCAGCAGTGGGGCGATAAAAACTCACGGATATGGTGCACCTCCTCAACATTCATCTTGCTGTGACGTCGTGTGACATGCAAGGCATGCTGGGTGCAACGGGCTTATTGATCACGATATCATAGCTCGCTGGCGAAAAAATCCGGAATGGTCGCGGGATCTTTAACGTCCACTGTGAACCAGACAGCGCGTGGTATGGTGTACTGCCGCTTGATACGCCCGCAGTATTTACCAGGGCGGACGCTGGAAGTAAAACCGTGAGCCTCTGCGTCGAGCGACCAACGGCGCATCTTGTCCTGTCTGTGTGTGGCAAGGTGAAGTTGGCATCACTGTGTGTGTGTGTAGCCTGCGTATTGAGCCAGAGGCGTAGCTAGGATATTTTGCGCCCGGGGACGAACTATAAAATTGGCGCCCCCCCCCCCCGTTTAATCACATTTTCCTAATACATCGAATAAGGAATAACAATAAAAATGTTAATGAAACATTGTATTTAAAGAAGCAAATTTATAGAAATTATGTTACATGGCTCACTCAGTCACTGTCGTAGACTGGTTGACATAGTCTACAAAAGATTATTTTTTCTTGATTTCATTGTCGCCAACTGGTCAATCACGTAATCAAAATCTGTTTTTCCCAATGTTTCTCTTTCAACGCTAAGAAGAGCAAGATCGCTGAGACGATCTTGTCCCATTGAAGCACGCAAATACGATAAAATAAGTTTCAATTTTCTTGGTTCTTTCGGTAAAGTCACGTAGAAGGGAAGTAATAAAATAATAAAAATAAAACATAATAAAACAATTCATTCAGACGCTGTCGCCTCGACAGACCTGGTTTTCACCTGAGGACGGCTGCTTGTGTTGTGGCCGAAACGTCGTGAGAATTGTTTTATTATGTTTTATTTTTATTATTTTATTACTTTCCTTCTACGTTACTTTACCGAAAGAACCAAGAAGATGAATCCCTGCAGTCACGAAAGCTTTAAATCGAAATTTAAGTTTCAATTTGCTGAACGACCGCTCACAGCTTGCAATTGAAACTGCTATTGTTAATACAATGTGCATTGAAATTCGCAAATTCGGAAATATGTCGTCTCCATAAAACACAATAAAACCAAGATGATCCAAAGGAGTTTCTGGTAGAACTTAATTCCGGTTACTGAGCAGCATTTTGCAATCTCCAATTTCTGTGAAAAGTTCGTAGCCATTGATGTCGGTGTCATAGAAATTTCCAAAATCTGTGCAATTTCGACGAATTGCATCGACATCTGTGTCGGATAGAAGAGTTTTGACGTCCAGCAGAAATCCAAATTTTGTGTTCAGGTCATTTAGTCGTAAAAACCGTGTTGATAAAATACGCTCTTCATAACGCGCACAATTTCTTCTTCTCCTGAAAGTCCTGCAACTCTTGCCAGTTCTCCTGGCATCTTCCGACGTCGCCTAATTCTTCTGTCCACATCGATCCCCCAGGCTGTGCATCTTGTTTTGGCGTTTTCTACAGCAAATTGGCTCAAATCATCACGAAGCTTGACAAATTCATGCTCCAAAGATTCAAGATCAGTTGCTGCTTCCTTGAAATTCATAGTAGGATCCTGTAAGCGCTTCTGAACACGATAATTTTTTCCAAGAATGAGATTCCAGAAATGTAATAAAACTATGAAGTTAAAATTTAATACGCATGCAAGTAACTGCATCACTTCTGGTTTCAGGCGTCATAGTTACGTCCTCTGATAATTTGTCTAGCAGCCCTACTAGTTCATCCAGTCCTTCATAGATAGCTTTAACAGCTTCTGATCGTGCACTCCAGCGTGTTTCAGTCCCGCTTTACTGTGATGGGCACAGCTTTTTTAAACTCTTCCCAACGAATTGTTGAACGAGAGAAAAACAAATATATACGTTCAACTGTTACAAAAAATGTGAAGACAAGTGGATCCTGTTTAGCTGAGTGTACTCCTGCTAAGTTTAAGCTGTGGTTGTCACAGTTGACAAACAATGATCTGTGATTTTTGTCACATATTCGTTGTTGAAGGCCTGTTATATGCCCAGTCTTCACAGCAGCATTGTCATAACATTGTGCTGCTAAATGAAGGCCACGCTATGTTGACGTGCGTGGGCTGCTCCGGCTGCTACAGCCGCCTGGAGCGTGGTGGTGTCACTAATAAGAACTAAAAATTGGCCGTCGTAGTTTCCGCCACCAAAAAACAGGCCAGTGACTAAGGCTGAAAGACTGCGCCTGTCTGTTGTTTGGGACGTTTTTCCATGTAAATTCTTAATAGGCGCGCGTACAAAAATGTAATTACATGACATGTAGGCTGTGTGTGGCGGGATATAAACACTCTTAGGTTGAGGTGTAATTTTGTGCAGTAGTTTCAGGCTGCCGCGCCCGCCGCAATAACTTATAATGTAACGTTGTAAGCCTTGGCGCCCGGGGACATATGTACCCCCCTGCCCCCCCCCCCCCCTTAGCTACGCCTCTGTATTGAGCCATCGGAAAGCCTCTGTTCAGGCTTGCTGCATACCGGCGATACTGCCCGGAAATCGGCAGTGTTGGATCCGCTGACCCACGCTCTGTGAATCGGCGGTGCAGGGGGGGGGCAGTGTTGGATCAGCTGATCCACGCTTTGTGAATCGGCGGTGCAGGAGGGGGGCAGTGTTGGATCAGCTGACCCACGCTTTGTGAATCGGCGGTGCGGGGTGGGGGCAGTGTTGGATTAGCTGACCCACGCTCTGTAAATCGGCGGTGCAGGGTGGGCAGTGTTGGATCAGCTGATCCACGCTCTGTAAATCGGCCGTGCAGGGGGGGGCAGTGTTGGATCAGCTCATCTACGCTCTGTGAATCGGCGGTGCAGTGGGGGGGGGGGCAGTGTTGGATCATGCGATCCGTGGGCTGGCTCTGGTGACTGCAGCAGTCACATTTGCGGGGACTGTCCGTTAGTTTCCCATCGCGACGAAGCAGGAGGCGACTGCATCTGCCATTCCCCGGTCCGCAGCGGGCCAGGGGCTCACCCACTCGCCGTGACGGCGCTCTACGGCGAAAGGGGGCCCACGTGAGCGCTCCAGAGGTTGGATTTGGCACCGCGCGCTGGAAGAGACGCGGGCTGGGTACGGGCAGTGCGTGGCGCGTCACTCCCAGGCTGGGGCGTGTGTGCGTGTGCACGCGTGTGACTCACGTATTCATCTGCTGCTCCACGCTCGCACGCACACACAGAGACGCCTGAGTCGTCCTTTATTATCATCTCGCACCCGCGCGTGTTCCTGCAGATGTCGAATTCTTCTTGCGGACGAATTCCAGATTTATCTGCAATGTAATAAATGTGTTCACGTCGATTTCAACCGTAATCATCTTTTTTTGGGGCTTAATTCGCTAACAAATTGACATTCGTAGCCTCTGCAGCTGTGTGCATTATTGCTGCAGCGGGCATAATTTTCTGAGGATTATATATACACGTTAGAATTATGCGTTAGCTCTTTGACCCGCGAGACCGATGTCGGGACATTAATGACCAGTAAGCGTTATTACGAGCTACCGGTCGTAGTGGATGTTCAGCAAACAGGACAGACAGACAGATAGAGACATTGCTGGATTAGAGTTGATCATCCTGCAGAAGTAACCATCCGTCGTGGATGTTCAGCAAAGGAGACAGACAGATAGAGACATTGCTGGATTAGAGTTCATCATCCTACAGAAGCTATCGTCCGTAGTGGATTTACAGCAAAGGGGACAGACATACAGAGACAATGCTGGATTAGAGTTGATCATCCTACAGAAGCTACCGTCCGTAGTGGATTTACAGCAAAGGAGACAGACAGATAGAGACATTGCTGGATTAGAGTTGATCATCCTAGAGAAGCTATAGTCCGTAGTGGATTTACAGCAAAGGGGACAGACATACAGAGACAATGCTGGATTCGAGTTGATCATCCTACAGAAGTAACCATCCGTAGTGGATGTTCAGCAAAGGAGACAGACAGACATACAGAGACATTGCTGGATTCGAGTTGATCATCCTGCAGAAGGCGGCTGTTTCCACGGCTGAGCGGTGGGCTGCGGGTCAGCACAGATGGATGTCCACAACGGATTTCTGCACAAATACGGTAACGGGACGTCTGGACAACACACGCGTGTTAGAAGCGTTATATATATGTTACGACTGTACCATGAAGAAGGGCAATTGCTCGACACGTTTCCTAAATATGTATTTGCCGTTCTATTGCAGTGTTATTGACGGATGTGTTGGGTGTTGTTGTTGTTATTTGTGCTTGTGCACCGGTGCCAACGCGGCATATGTGGGAACAACGCATGCGGATCCATTTGTAGATACCCCACTGATTTCTCATGATTCCACCCCTCATATTTACTTTATTAGCCACGGCTGAGTGGACATTGCGCATGAAGGAATGGGCTAAATAGTGGAAAAAATAAAATCAAGCAGTGCATGTGCTGAGATTGGCGAGGAACGTGCAGAGGCTTTGATTTAGAATCGTGTGTTCTCGATAGACTGCAGTACATTTTCAATACTGTATTATTTTTAATGTGGTATCTATAAATGGATCTCCCTGTGTAACGTTACAGAAAGCATATACGGTATAATAGGATGATGATGTTCCGATTTAAAGCTTTCGTGACTGCAGGGATTCATCGTCTTGGTTCTTTCGGTGAAGTCACGTAGAAGGGAAATAATAAAATAAACAAATAATAAAATAAATCGCACGACGTTTCGGCCACAACGCAAGGACGGCTGCTTGCGTTGTGGCCGAAACGTCGTGAGAATAATTTTATTATGTTTTATTTTTATTATTTTATTATTTCCCTTCTACGTGACTTTACCGAAAGAACCAAGAAGAAGAAGATGATGATGATGTGTATGACGATGCAATATGCGAGTTGGATTACGACGATGATTAATGCAATTGATAAGCACGACTTATCGATTGTTTCCGACGTTAATGGCAATGATGACGTTTAACGATCGTGATGATGACGACGGTAATCACGATACATTTTTATTCCACGAGAATGGTGACGGTGAGTCATGGTGATGACGATGACGGTGGTTGCGATTATAATTTAAAATATGATGATCTACAATCACAATAATAAGGCTGACGATTTACGATCACGATGATTATGGTGATCATCATCATCATCATGATTTGTGAGACGACGATGCAATAATTTTCCCATCAACTCATCGATAATTAAAAAAAAAACCTCAACACAGTCGTCAATAAGTACTGCGTGGCCTTCAAAGTAGAAAACAATATTTCAACGACGTTTCGGGCAACGGCCCTTCTTGATTTATTGAGAGAACATCATACTACCTCATAATATCCTGACAAAAGCTCCATTCTTTTTTTAATATCTAATTTCTTAAAAGAACCGCTCTTTGTGCTTAGTTTCTTGTCCTTCCCCCGCACCTCCAAATGAGTATGGCTGGCCACGTACGGTGCGAAAGAAGTTCAACGTACGTAATAGAGATTTAATCTCGGCACGCCGTGCGTCCCTGCACCATGAACTCATCATGTCGATGATGTTGTGTGCTACAGATGCCTCCGCGCGCTCATGCTTTGGCATTAGTACAGTGTGCGTGGATTAACTGGGGGAGTCATATAATCTGCACAATGTCCCGGACGCTTTCCCGCACAGAGACAGAGAGAGAGAATTCGTTGCGACCCAGATTTAATCTCGCTGGGAATCCAACAACAAAGACAACGATCTCCCCGTGCAGCCTTAACAAGGGCTGTTGGCGAGCACCCATGAAGATCGCCACGGCACGGCCGCCTTTGTCTTCCCAGTGCTGATGTTCATTGCACAGCGCACCAGGTGCTTGTTTAAGGCTGAGTCGTCCTAGGGGAGGCTCTGCACCGGTTCAAAATTGCATCACTGGCCTTAGCTGTGAGCGGGAATTTAGCATGGCTGATGGACATCTGTAAAAAAAAACAAAGAGCTTTATAACTCATCGGGTTTCTCCAGTATAAATACATTTCTCTGAATCTGGCATCCGCACCTCGACGTCCACTCCTCCACAACCCCCTCCTCCTCCCCCCACCACCTCCACCACCACCAGGGGGATTTCTGGTGAAGCGCTGGCGGCAGCGTTACGTGGCGGTGGAAGAGGACGGCTCGTTGTACATCGCCAGGGGTCCCGGGGCGTGCCCGCGGGGCCCCATCGCCCTCCCGAGCGCCTGCAGGGCAGTGGTGCCGGGCCTCGAGGTGGGCTCCCTGCCACCGCTCCCGACAGGGGCCCGGCCCGAGTGCTGCCTGGCCCTGCAATTGCTGGGAGGCAAGCACGTGTTCCTGCTGGCGGGCGACGCGAGCGAGTTCAGGTGTGACTATTTGGTTCTTTCGGTAAAGTCACGTCTAAAGATAAAGTAATAATTCTTTGGTTCTTTCGGTTAAGTCACGTCTAAAGATAAAATAATAAATTAAATAATAGCATATTACGACGTTTCGATTGCAACACAAGCAATCGTCATCAGGCATAAAAGAAATAGCAACCAAAATCTAACTAGAAAACTATAGACAGACATACAAGCAGACAGACATCACAAGGACACACAGAGAGAGGACACACTATAGACAGATATACAAGCAGACAGACATCATAAGGACACACAGAGAGAGGACACACTATAGACAGACATACAAGCAGACAGACATCATAAGGACACACAGAGAGAGGACACGTATCGCTGCCGCCAGCGCTCTCTGTGTGTCCTTATGATGTCTGTTTGCTTGTATATCTGTCTATAGTTTTCTAGTTAGATTTTTGTTGCTATTTCTTTTATGCCTGATGACGATTGCTTGTGTTGCAATCGAAACGTCGTAATATGCTATTATTTAATGTATTATTTTATCTTTAGACGTGACTTAACCGAAAGAACCAAATAATTATTCCTGCAGTCACGAAAGCTCAAAAATTAAGATAAAATAATAAATTAAATAATAGCATACGACGTTTCGATCGCAACATAAGCAATCGTCATCAGGTATAAATGAAAGAAAATGAAATAGCAACAAAAATCTAACCAGAAAACTATAGACAGACATATAAGCAGACAGATATCACCAAGATACAAAGAGAGAGAGAACAACACATAGGCACACAGAGAGAGAACGTCTCTGTGACGAGGTCACGAAAGCTCCAAATTAAGATTAGTTCAGGTGTGGTTTTTATATGCCCCCACTGTAATGCCATCGTGCTTGAGGCCGTATCTGCATTATAATTGCTATGGCTGAGATACAGCGTGGCATTTGGTGATAATAATCTATTTTTAACTGACATTTTATTTTTTAAAAGGGAAAATGGTACATTGCGATTATGATTTGTTAGATATTTTTATTTTATCTTATCTGTTATTGTTTATTATTCATTTATTCTACTGCGACTTGTTGCGTTTGTCGGAGAAGCGGCGGTGTTGTTTATGTTGATGAAACTTGAGTTGTGCGCCTTTTGGCGTCATCTGGTCCAACACCATGTGAGACTAGGCTCTAAGAAAAGCTGTCTCGGGTGTGGGCCAATCAATTTAAAGGACAGTGCATACATTATCAGAGTTGTGTTTTTGTTTGCATTCCGACCGCAGGTATTGTGGTCAATGCAAACATGACTCCTTGTAAAAAAGGTGTCAGTTTTGTTGCCAGATAAAAGGGTAAAATACCAATTGTCATATTTTGCTACTGGCAAAGGAGGTTCCAATGGACTAAAATGTATACAATGAAGAATAAAACAATACTCTTGCGCAAACACAAATACTGTAAATGTTAAATAAAAGCTAAAATAGAAAATTCCCTGCAACGAAAATCTGCTCGGGCAGATTACTTACAGATCGATGACAGCAATCAAAAACGAAGCTGCAGACACATTAAACATTAACACCGATATATCATCATCATCATCATGGCTTGGCTTCGCGAACGAAGATCTAGGAAGGACATCCACGTCTTCTGCAGGCACGCTGGTGGCTGAAGAGGCCTATGCGGGACAAGCAGGTCCTGCCACAACAGCTGCAAGTGAAGGTCTCATCTGGGATGGGTGCTGAGGGATCATGATTCTTCCTCCTTCTCCTTTTGTCCTCCATACGGGCCCTGCGGGTATCTTCGAAGAAGGAGGTGGCCTGGTGGACTGTGTGCCGCCAGGAGTTGCGATCAGCTGCTTGTGTTGCCCACTGACGGTGATCGATGCAGCAAGCAGTGAGGGACTTCTTCAGGGAGTCTTTGTATCGCTTTCGTGGTGCCCCTATGTCGCGATGGCCAGAGGACAGTTCCCCATACAGCACGATCTTAGGCAAGCGGTGGTTCTCCATCCTGGCGATGTGCCCTGCCCAACGAAGCTGTGTCTTGAGGACCATGGCCTCGATGCTGATGACCTTCGCTGACTTGAGGACTTCAGTGTTGGCGACGAAGTCACTCCAGTGAATATTGAAGATTGTGCGGAGGCAGCGCTGATGGAAACGCTCGAGGAGACTCAGGTGACGACGGTACGACGGTACGTGACCCAGGACTCAGCGCCATACAGGAGAGTGGTCAGCACAACAGCTTTGTAGACGTTGACCTTTGTGGCTCTTTTAAGGTTTCTGTTGTTCCAGACACGTTTGTATAGTCTGCCAAATGCACTGTTTGCCTTGGCCAGCCTGTTGTCGACTTCGTTGTCGATCTTGGCGTCAGACGAGATGACGCACCCCAAGTAGCTGAACTGGTGGACAGCTTTCAGTTCTGTTTGTTCAATGAAGATGCTTGGTGGATGGTGCTCCTCATGGGGTGCGGACTGATGAAGAACTTCAGTCTTCCTCAGGCTGACTTCAAGGCCGAAGATCTGAGCTGTTTTCGCGAAACAGGACCGATATATAGCGTGAATATAATACTATATTATGTAAACAAACGCCGATATATGTCAAAGGCAATCACTCACATCACACCCGCAACCTTCCAAGGAGCATAAACCATCACGCGAACTCCGATCATCCTCGCAGCAACGGAGTTTGATTAACCATCGAATAAATACGGTCACCGCATCGCGCGCTTTCAGATGCGTTTCTGCGGCCGTCTGGAACGCTCTCCCGATATTAGGAAGTCACTTTAGCTATGCACTTTTAAATCATCTATAAGATTGAAAACTCATTTATTTAGAACTCCTTTTTGTGTTCAGCTTGTTGTCCTTCACCCCACTCCCCCGCAACTCCGATTACCACGGTTTGCTACGTACGGTACGAAAGAGGTTCAACATACGCACGTACATACAACATTCCCGCAGCCTTCACAGTCCACCCGCACCCCAACAACAACACCCGCACCCACGTGGCCCACGCGTTTCCCCCGTCAGCTCGCTCTGCACGGTTGATTGACGTGCGCTCTGTCACCATTCCTTGTGCCCCCGCAGGCGCTGGTTCGGCATCTTGATGCAAGCCAGGAAGGTGAGTGATGGGTACATCACGGCGCGGTCCAACCTCGCGTATTAAACGTTGTGTGCTTCGGCCCCCCAGCCCCCCCCCTCATCCCCCAGGTCAGCTCACGCTCCCTCAAACAAACTCACCTATGGGACACTTATTTGCTGGTTACATAACAAAATAATAACATCTTCTTGGTTCTTTCGGTAAAGTCACGTAGAAGGGAAGTAATAAAATAATAAAACTAAAACATAATACAATTGTTTTATTTTTATTATTTTAGTAATAAAATAATAAAAATAAAACATAATAAAATAATACAAATAAAACATAATAAAATTGTTTTATTTTTATTATTTTATTACTTCCCTTCTACGTGACTTTACCGAAAGAACCAAGAAGATGAATCCCTGCAGTCACGAAAGCTTTAAATCGAAATTTAAGGCATACATTATCGTCAACGCTTTTTTGTTTACATGTTTTATCATAAGTATGATGCTGGCGAATGCAGACAATGCCTTTCAGTATGCGTCTATTTGGCGTTTGAACATCTTAACACCTCCTGTATTATTGCCGGGAAGAGTAAAGCCTGTTATTGTTTCATCACGTTCCATTTTGTACGCACGAATGTTTCATTTTCGTTGGTACTGATATTCGTTGGTAACTGATTTTCGTTGGTACAGTACTGATATTCGTTAGTATTGATTTTCATTGGTAACTGATTTTCATTGGTACTGATTTTCATTGGTACTGATTTTCGTTGGTACTGATTTTCGTTGGCACTGATTTTCATTGGTACTGATTTTCATTGGCACTGATTTTCGTTGGTACTAATTTTCATTGGCACTGATTTTCGTTGGTACTGATTTTCGTTGGTACTGATTTTCATTGGTACTGATTTTCATTGGCACTGATTTTCATTGGTACTGATTTTCATTGGCACTGATTTTCGTTGGTACTAATTTTCATTGGTACTGATTTTCGTTGGTACTGATTTTCGTTGGCACTGATTTTCGTTAGTACTGATTTTCGTTGGCACTGATTTTCATTGGTACTGATTTTCGTTGGTAACTGATTTTCATTGGTACTGATTTTCATTGGTACTGATTTTCATTGGCACTGATTTTCATTGGTACTGATTTTCGTTAGTACTGATTTTCGTTGGCACTGATTTTCATTGGTACTGATTTTCGTTAGTACTGATTTTCGTTGGTACTGATTTTCATTGGTACTGATTTTCGTTGGCACTGATTTTCATTGGTACTGATTTTCATTGGTACTGATTTTCATTGGCACTGATTTTCATTGGTACTGATTTTCATTGGTACTGATTTTCGTTGGTACTGATATTCGTTGGCACTGATTTTCATTGGTACTGATTTTCATTGGCACTGATTTTCATTGGTACTGATTTTCGTTGGTACTGATTTTCGTTGGCACTGATTTTCATTCGTACTGATTTTCAGTGGCACTGATTTTCGGCGGAGTATTGCTCACCGTTGCTCTGCGCGCTCGACCTCTCGACCTACAATCCCCATGGCAAACAAACGAGAAGAACTCACAAGCAAGCAAGCCAAGCGGGCGCACTGCTGCCAAGCCGTTCGGCCGTTTGCCCATCGGTGGTCAATGTCACTGCGTCGTTGCAACTCCCGTGTCGCCGCAGGGCGTCCTGTGTCCACTGGACGGGCGACTCACGCCGTCTGCCTGGCCAGCCGACCCGGCCACTCGCGACAAACAACAGCGGCGCAGAGTCGCCGCCGCCGCCAGCAGCACCAGCACCGCCGCCTCACCATCCCCAGCGCTCTTCCGTCTCGTCTACGCTCCGCGCTACCCTCGTTCATCGCCGCACGCCGCCGCCGCCGCCGCGCAACCCGCCCTTCCGCCGTGCTACCACAGGCGACACGAGCGGCCCTGCGTGGACCTGGCCTTCCTAGTGACCGTCGAAACGGTGGCCGGGCCCGCGTTGGGCCTCGTGGCCCCGGGGTCGGTTGCCTCCATCGAAGGGGCAGCGCTGCGTGAGTGCATACTGGGGGCGATGGGCGGTGGCGGCGGTGGCGGTGGAGGAGGAGGAGGTGGAGGAGGAGGAGGTGGAGGTGATGCCACACTCTACCACGCTGGGACGGATGTGTTCCACGCGCTCGCTGGGGACGCGTACGGAGGAGATTTTGTGGATTACGACGGCTTCGAGGGCGCGGATTTCGGCGCGTTCTCGTTTTGAGGTGGCGTGGTGATCGCGTGAGGTGTCCCTTGTCCCCCGCAGCGGTCGTGTTAGTATTACTCACATTGATATTCACAGTTCGTGGGTGTTTTATTACTAAAATAGTGTTTAAGTGTATTTATAATGTAGGTAGCAGTATTACTCATGCTAGATTCCTCGTTCCCTGTGCACCCAGACGCTGCTCCGTGCAGCTCATTTCTGCTCACTCCTTTCTACTCTTGCCCCTCCGCTCTCATCGTCACTCATTCACCACCCCCCCCTACTTATCTTCTTTCCCTCCTCCCCTGCCTGCACCGGCTCCACTCTTTCTTTCTCCCATGCTGCTCATCTTGAGCCCCCCCCCTCTGGCGTGTCTCTCCTCTCGGTGGAGACTTTCACCCCGGCCTCCTTTCCCTTTCCCCCGGCGTCACCTCGGCCCCCTGTCTGCTGCACCCTCTGCTTCACCCTCTGCTGCACCCTGGCTGCTGCACCCTCTGCTGCACCCTCTGCTGCACACGCTGCTGCATCCCTCTGCTGCACCCTCTGCTGCACCCGCTGCTGCACCCTCTGCTGCACTCTGGCTGCACCCGCTGCTGCACCCGCTGCTGCACCCTCTGCTGCACTCTGGCTGCACCCTCTGCTGCACCCTCTGCTGCACACGCTGCTGCACACGCTGCTGCACCCTCTGCTGCACCCTCTGCTGCACCCTCTGCTGCACCTTCTGCTGCACATTGTCTGCTGCACCCGCTGCTGCACCCGCTGCTGCACCCTCTGCTGCACCCGCTGCTGCACCCTCTGCTGCACCCTTTGCTGCACCTTGGCTGCTGCACCCTCTGCTACACCCTCTGCTGCACCCTCTGCTGCACCCGCTGCTGTACCCTCTGCTGCACCCTCTGCTGCACCCTCTGCTGCGACCGGCTTGCACTCCCCTCCCCCCGTGGTGCGCTCCCACGGGCGGCAGCGCTGTACCCATCCCAGCGGCGCTCTTGGCCGGCGTAATGGCACGGGACGAAGACTTAACGCGCGCGCGCTTGACCGGGGGAAGCCTCGCTGAGTGTCGAGACTCTGTTCCAGGAGCGATCCTGCCAAGTGTTCACAGTAGCAGGGGCGCGATGTTGTTGTTCTGTGTGTGCAGCGGCATCATGGTGACCACTTCGTCAGCTGCCTCAGGGGGTGCGGCTTTCGGTCAGGTGGGGCCCCAATATTTGATGTTGCCTCGCACGGTCGCACCGAGGCTGTTACCTATACACGAGCTTGTTTGCCCGTCCTAGCACGGAAGCTGTATCATTTACGAGCAGAGTATAATTGATTCGTGTGTAAATTTAATGGCAGTGAATATTGCATGAAAGTATGTCAACGAACACTTTACTTCATGTCACTGTAGCGCCGTATATAACTGACCGTCAATTTGTTCAAATTCACTGCTCTGGTACTTAATTCTCTTCTGCTTTCGGTCGTTGGGGTTGAAATAAATAGGAATTTGATACAATATCTGGAAAAATCACCGACAAATGTCTATTTTACCATAATATAGAAGCGTGAATTAGACTTACCGTGTTTCAAGTGCTGAATAAATAAATAAAGACACCGAAACCAATTTATTGCTGCGTCTAATTATTTATTAGATTCACTTTCAATAAAGAAACGTAAAATTTAAAGCGAATTTGCGAAATAAACTAATTTCCGCTCGACCTTCTTCAGCGTGAGTGTAAAAATTTACAAGCTCATGAATATTCATGACGGGGGGGGGGGGGCTTGTGAAGTGACGTCAAGCGCGTTACACACAGACAGACATTCTTGTCTCATCATCCTCTGGTTCAATCACATCAGTAAATGTAAACCGCGTTTTAAATAAGTGTGTTGTTCTTCCACACTCTTGTTGAAAACTCATTTCATGATAATTGTTTTTTTTACCCTTCTATCTGGCAACAAAACTGACATCTTTTTTTTACAAGGAGTCATGTTTGCATAGACCACAATACCTGCAGTCGTAATGCAAACAAAAAACATAACTCCGATAATGTATGCACTGTCCTTGAAGTTGATTGGTCCACACCCGAGACAGCTTTCCTTAGAGCCTAGTCTCACATGGGTTGGACCAGATGACGCCAAAAGGCGCACAACTCAAAGACAATGCACCATCAGAGTATGAGAGCTCGGGGTAAGCATTTACACCATTGGAACCTCATTTGCCAGTAAAAATATGATAATTGGTTTTTTACCCTTCTATCTGGCAACTAAACTGACATCTTTTTTTTACAAGGAGTCATGTTTGCATAGACCACAATACCTGCAGTCGTAATGCAAACAAAAAACATACCTCCGATAATGTATGCACTGTCCTTGAAGTTTATTGGTCTACACCCGAGACAGCTTTCCTTAGAGCCTAGTCTCACATGGTGTTGGACCAGATGACGCCAAAAGGCGCACACCTCAAAACTAATCTCATGTTGGTTGTCAAGGGGGCCCCGACTCGTAGCTTTGGCCACCAAGGGGGGGGGGGGGGGTGGGGGGGGGCAAGGCACCCCCCCCACCCCCACGTCCGTTATGCTGCTGTCTGTGTGCAAATCCTCATCGAGTAATTTGCAGTGTTGATTTTTAGCATTGCGATATTTTGGCCAATTTGCAGTTGCGTTGTGTGCGTGTTTGTGTGATTTTTTACGCTATTGGAGGGCAACGGAGAACCCGGAGTAACGCCAATGCAGAACAGGGGGGGGGGGGGTAGGAGGGGGGGGGGGGAACCATACAGACTCCACGCAGAAAGGTGCCCGAGTCTGGAATCGAACCCGGGTGGGTCCCAGTTAGTCCAAGCTGCTGAAGCCCCCACGCGTGGGTGCTGGGTGCTGGGATCCTAGCCGCGTGTGCAGTCAACGTCGCCTCCGCGTGCTGTACATTGGCCAGCGTCGTTCAGATGCAGTTGCGTAAATGATTGCTCCTAGCAAATGAAATAAACCTGCACATTTTAAATTATTATTATTATTAATACGTGGGCACTGGTTCCAATTCTTGAGCTTATCATTTCTGGGGCTCTGTGCGCCAAACCATCATCCACTTAGCATAATCTTTTGCTTCTACATTTAGGGGGCTGGATTATTTGTCCGTTGTAAATCTGACCAAATGTGATCTCTCTCTCTCTCTCGAGCGTGTGTGTGTGGGGAGCGGTAGTGTAGCGGTTAGCGTGCTGCGCGCTACGAGCCTGGCGACTCGAGTTCAATTCCCCGTTCACGCCCAATACCAGTGACGAATATCTGAACCTATCCTGGGCTTCCTCTAGGTCGACTCAGCCTCAAATTAGTACCTGATTGTGATGTGTAAACATCGCAACTAGATAGACAAAGGCGGCCGGAAGTGGTGGTGACGGCCACACCACCCCCTCGTGTACCGTGTCGGCCTTCATAGGTGCTCGCTAACAGCACTCTCCCGAAACGTCTGCTAATGCTATACGGGGGATCTTTGTCGTTGTGATTGCTGGGTCATGTGGCCTGCCTGCGCAGCCACCGCATGCCCGGCCACCGCCTGCCCGGCCACCGCATGCCCGGCCACCGCATGCCCGGCCACCGCATGCCCAGTCACCGCATGCCCAGCCACCGCATGCTCGGCCACCGCATGCTCAGCCACCGCATGCCTGGCCACCACGTGCCCAGCCACCGCGTGCCCAGCTACCGCATGCCCGGCCACCGCATGGCCCAGCCACCGCATGCCCGGCCACCGCATGCCCGGCCACCGCGTGCCCGGCCACCGCATGCCCAGCCACCGCATGCCCGGCCACCGCGTGCCCAGCCACCGCATGCCCAGCCACCGCGTGCCCAGCCACCGCATGCCCGGCCACCGCGTGCCCGGCCACCGCATGCCCAGCCACCGCATGCCCGGCCACCGCGTGCCCAGCCACCGCATGCCCAGCCACCGCGTGCCCGGCCACCGCGTGCCCAGCCACCGCATGCCCAGCCACCGCGTGCCCAGCCACCGCATGCCCAGTCACCGCATGCCCAGTCACCGCATGCTCGGCCACCGCATGCCCAACCACCACATGCCCCAGCCACATCATGCCCGGCCACCGCATGCCCGGCCACCGCGTGCCCGGCCACCGCGTGCCCAGCCACCGCATGCCCAAGCAGCTTTGATTTGGTCGGTCAGAGGGGGATAAACGGGCACGACACGGTTCAGTAGGATGTGGAGCTGAGTGGAGTTGTCGATGACTGGTACCAGCGGTGTCAAGACCGGCCTCCATGGAGGAGCTTCGTGAAGGACGCTGCTGGGTAGTTAGATGCAGTCGCCCTCCACCGTCCTGGTTATTCCTGTGGGTGTAATTAAAACAACAATAATACGCGCCGCCTACTTCGCTCACATTTCTTTCAAAGTGCTTTCCCCGCACCTCCAATTAGCGCGGTTGGTTACGTGCGGTGCGAAAGAAGTTTAACATGCTTGGATGTCAAAGATTCGCCGACGTCGTTTGCAAGAGTCGCCCATCGTGTGTGTGCCGCTGGCGTCATGGTCGAATTTTGAAGAGAGAGAGAAAAAACACCCACCCCTATTGGGATTATACAGCAGCAGCAGCAGCATCATACATCGCTTCCGTCTGCGAAAACTTTGCAGGAACCCCGTATAAACAATGGTCTTGAGACTCAGTGAGGCTTTTTCCCTGCGTAAGACAGGGGTAGCGATGAAGGGGAACGTTAGTCGTGGCCATTGAACCAACCCGCGTTGTACAAGCAAGCAAGCAGCCTCTCTCTCCTCCGTCGAAATATTCTGCTAGCGCAGATGCGAAGATAGGCCACAAGAGGCCGCTGTGAGTCCGCGCGACGTTGAGCGGTTCCGATCCCACGAGACGAAGTCTCTCAAACTTAATTTGGAGCTTTCGTGACTGCAGCAATTACTCTTTGGTTCTTTCGGTAAAGTCACGTATAAAGATAAAATAATAAATGAAATACTAGCATACGACGTTTCGATAGCAACACAAGCAATCATCATCAGGTATAAATGAAATAGAAACACAAATTCTAGTATACTTAGAAATGTAATGT